ATGAGATAGTTTTCCAGAGTGTCTTTTGCATGACAAACTTGGCGTTCCTGCTTTGGTCATCATTGACATTGGGTTGAAACCAAAACTATCAGCAATTCCAGTGGTTTATGATTATTATGATGCTACATTCTAACAATATTTGGATTTTATGTGCACTACATGTGACACAAGGAGGAAATTTTTAAGGCTTGTACACCTTAAAGTGTATGCTGAACCACTCAGACTCCTTGAATGCATCAAGTCGAGGTAAGTGGCTCTTCCCAACCATTGAGTAGACTATTCAGGTATTCCATGGTTCTAAAGGACATATCTACATGATGGTCTTAAGTGTGTGCTTTATTCATACAAAACCATTGGCTCATTATCCTGACATCGATTTCAAGCAAATCGAATGGATAACCTTGCAGAATTCTCCTTGAGTGCCTTCTTTATGGCCCTTGGATTGAAGTTTGGCAATTTGTCCTAATGTCTAGACTCAAAATGGTTTGGTAGAATCCTATCCAAAGAGTTAAGCTCATTGCATAATCTTTACTTTGGAATTGCAACTTACCAACTTTATGTTGGAGTCATGCAATCTTACACACTCATGACCAAACTGCATTATATTATTCCCTCTATCTTTTATACGTGGAAATCTACCAAGTATTTCCTATCTATGGTAATTCGGTTACACGCCGAAATCACCACCCGGCATACATCATTGGCCCCTCAACATATAGTTGGGATCTATGTGAGGAATAACTGTATTTCTGTCAATACCTCAAGCCCCTCGCATGGGGAGTTATTCAAGGCCAGTATGCTGATTTAATGAGGAACATTTCCAGGCATTAGGGGGAGATTTCAAGTACCATAAAAATGCCAGGAAATTAGTGGAATGTTCAATGCATTTCTACCTCAAATCCACGTACTCAAAGATCTGAACCATGCATTCAGAAGATTTGCAACACATTGCAAATAATCTGCCAGATTCATTTACTGACTATAAAGGTGTCACACAATCCTACAATCCTGCAAAAGTACGCCTGAAAGAGTGGAGGTACCAGCAAAATCCACTTCACTCCTCGTTCAAAGCAACAGGGGGAGATCTATGGCAGAAGTACATCAGGATTCAACTTCTTGCAAGCAAGGATATCAAGGCCTGTGAATCAGTAAATGCAAGTCAACTTCACGTTGATAGACATCTAATGGGTAGTATACACCCAGTGGACGGGAAACCTCCACCAACCCAGGTCATAGTGCACATAATGACCGGGACATCGGAATACCCGACTCAATCGCATTGGGAAATCGCGAGCAATCACCATGGGTAACGATATTTCCATCAACTATATAGATCCTGGAGAATCATATAACCAAAAGTCTACAATTGTCAACATACATTTCTCAACTAGATTGCAAAAACCTTTCAAATGATTCAGATCCAAAGACCATGGCCATGGCAAAGTGTGAACAACACTCGGACTGAACTCAAGCAAAGGGTATAATCTAGGTAGAAACAATCTTGCTCAATAATGGGAAGGTATTCATAAGCAATACCTACACCAGTTTTTTTTCTGAAAACAGAATTGAGAACAATGAGGTGGTGAAACAAAGAGAAAGTATTGTAGCACAAGGGTTCACGCAGATACCCAACTATTCTCCAGAGGTGGAATCTCTTTCCGATAACTTATATCATTGGCAGTACAAAATCATCTATCTCTGCAGTTGATAGATGTAGTGATTACATATCCATGTGGATCACTAGATTCAGACATATATGATTGATTTCCGATGGAATCTCAATTCTGAATCGAAATACAAAATGCAACATACATTGTGTAAAACTAGTAAGTCACCATACGACTTATTGTGGTCGGTACATATGGTACAACCGACGTAGTGAGTTCCTTATACAAAAGGGTTACTCCTGCAAAGATGATTATGCATGTTTGTATGTCTGCGATGACGACACATGTAATCATCTAATGACGGAGTTTAAATGAAGGATTTGGGTAAACCAAAACACCGCTCGTTACTACAACTTGAGCACCTTCATTCATACATTATGGTATACTATGTTGTCTATATCCAAGATATATTGGAGAAATTCATTGTGGACAAATATTATCAATCCATAACCCTCATGGTAGTTCATTCTCTAGGCGTAGAGAATGATCTATTTAGACCAAGAGATGATGGAAATGAGATATTGGGACTCAACGTTCCATATGCCATTGGACCGACCAAACATAATTGGTTGGTACTCAAGAATATATTTTGATATCTTCAAGGCATGAAACATCTTGTCCTGGTTTTTCAGTTTTGGAGAAATCTGAACACCAATATCATTGGATACATCGATCAGATCCCCACTATGTCAGATCGTAGACAAGTTTAGTGTTCCTACTAGGTGTGGTAGCCCTCTCATGAAGAGTCTTCGAAACAGACCTCATGGCTACATCCATCAACCATTATCTCAACGATAATTTTTCTTGTGTTGCTCGGATGCAAACATGTTACATAATAAGCAATATCACTATATTGCATATCTTGCAAGTCAAATCAATGCGACTGATTTGTTCAGCGGGTCTCTACCAACTTCTATGTTTTGGTATGTGACGGCTTCAAATTTTGCAAGAATCAGGGGGAGTATCTTCCTGAATTGTTCATGTTCAATGCATCATATTATACTCTTTTTTCCTTCATGAGTTTACTTTACAGGTTCTCATAAAGGTTTTTAATGAGGTAATATCAACATGAGATCATATGTCATACTTCCTGTTTTCCCCATCGGGGTTTTGGGAAAGTATATATGACACATTTATTGTCCTCTAAACTCTATGAGTTTTTTTCGTATTGAGTTAAAAGAGATAATGACCATTATATGTTGTATCATTTTCTCCTTATTTTTCCCACTGGGTTTGAAGGAGTTTTAGCAACATATCAAACACCTATCTCCTCATATTTTTTCCACAGGGTTTTTGGAGGAGCTTCCCAAGATGATGATACTTACACTAACAAGCATGGATTAGGGGGAGTGTTAGGATTTAATTAATCATATTAATCCCTGCTTTTCCTAATTGAGGCAGTTGTCTCGTGTCCCTTCGGACGTACCCCTTCGGGGGCTATATATATGTAATCCCATCATCAATGAGAACAACTATTCTACTACTTGTCATTTGCCTCTTGCAATTACTTCGAACAAGTATCATACAAAATATCAACGTTTGTGTTAATCACATAATTAACACGTAATATATATCCTACCTAATATCAATGTGCAATTAATTTTCTTCTTTATTTTTTTCAAAAGGAGGATGCACCCCCGGCCTCTGTATCTGGGCGGTGCATGCAGTCATTTTATTAATTATTCACAAATCCCTTACAAGGTAATACATCAGTAAATCTGAAGCCACCATCTTGGCAACACCTGTCGCTACTCCGATCCCCGTAATGAAGGGGTGCCGAATGTCCGATCCTAATACCAAATAGACATCGCACCAACACCTAACATCTAAGGTCGGATGCTCCATCCAAGCCACAATACCTGGACTGCGTTACACACCGGTCCGGCGCACTTTCAGTGGACACTACATGCACACGCTGCAAGGGCCGTCACATCCTTCATCCATTGATCCATCCGCAGAGAAAATACGGACACATCGACCTTGCCAGACCTCTCTGCCATCGACGCCACCACGACGCCAGACAACGTCGTCCTCTAGCACAAGTCCATCGCCACCCATCAGACGCCGAGTCTCCACTGCGCCACACCGCCGAGATCCAACGCCATCAATGTGTAGGATGAAGCGCCGCTCCACCACCTACCGATGCCCAACCACCAAGCCGTCCACATGTCCGTCCAGTCAATGAATGTCTTCGAAGATGATGCCCCCACGGCGTGGCGACGAAGATGTCGCCATCATCCAATTCAGGAGGCCCCTCAACGCCTCCAACGAGGGCTAGGACGCCCACGGGCGCCGTCGTCGATGGTAGCCTCCTCCAGATCTAAGGTTTCTCCTGAAAACAATGGAGCGAGGGACACACCCACCATCGCCTCCAACGAGCAAACCGACACCCACGGGCGCCGCAGACGATGGTGGCATCCTCACCCACTCCAGTAGCTAGGCCATCATCTCCTTCTCCACTTGATTCGCCGTCGGGAAGCCACCGCGAGGCAACACTCACTGACAAGATCCCTTTGGACCGACGATGAAGACAACCAAAGGTAGAGGAGGTCACATTGTTGCGTTACCAGTGCCATGGCCACACACACGTTGTCCCGAGGCGCCTGCTCAAGATCCACCGTCACAGCTACGCCTCCAAGCCGCGACGGGGAGACGCCCCGCCGCCGCCACCATCCCCCCGCACGGGCGTTGCCCAGCCGGGATCCAGCGACGGCGGGAGGGGAGGCTAAGGGGAGGGCGGACGGGGTCGGGAGAGATCTGGAGGGGAAGGGGGAGGCAGAGGGGAGAGCGGACGGGAGAGGAAAGATCGGGAGAGGAGAGGAGAGGGGAGGGGAGGCAGAGGTTTTTTTTCTAATATCAGTCTGCATTGAACGTACGCATTTACTAGTGAAAACAAAAGAAGCAAAGACAAATATCTACTACTTTCTCTATTATAATGCACCCGTCGTTGCACGATGATACAGTGAACACCAATATATGTAAGACAGTAGAGTAAACCTAGCTCGTAACGGGAACCCAACCACGGCAGTCAAACCATTCGGAATTAACAAACCCATCACCATTTGTACATCTCAAACCCCCGAGAGCCAATGTTATCTCCCCTCCACCTTCTTATAAACCCCCATCCCTCCACTTTCCCACACTACCTTCGTCCTTCCTTTTTTGTTCTTCTCAACTCATACAGTTTAGTTGCTACTATCTTTCCCTGTTCTTGGCGCGCATTATCGCCTCTGGTGCTCCTCTTCTGGAGATCCGAACGACAAAGTTGAATATTCTGCTGAGGAAGGACGTCTATATTTTTGTAAAACAAAAAAGATTCGGTTTCTGTTATTTATGCACAACGTTGGCAACTGCCATCTGCTGTTCCTCTCGTCCAAATCCCATCTTCTTGCATCAAGCGCCGCCATGTCAACGCCCCAGAGCGGCAGCCCGAGCCCAGCGACCACGGCGGCGTCGCCGGTGGAGACGAGCAAACACTGGGCGCCGCATGGCCCGATGCTGACGGCCTGCCTCGTCAGCATCAACGTGCTCATGATCCTCCTCGTCTTCTTCTACTTCTGGCGGTTCTTCTCCGTGAAGCGGGGGCCGTCTTCCCCCGGCGGCGCCGATGAGGAGGGGTCATCCACCGACTCGTCTCCGGCGACCTCGCCGAGAGCGTCTAGGCGCCTGCGTGACCCCGACCAACCGGACATCCCGTCTTCCCTGCCCGTGTCCGTCTTCGACTCCAGCAGCGAAGCCGCCGGGATGGCGGCGGCGGACTGCGCGGTGTGCATCGTGGAGTTCCGGGACGGCGACCTGGCGCGCCTCCTCCCTCGCTGCGGGCACCGATTCCACGCCGCGTGCGTGGACGCGTGGTTGCATCTACACTCCACGTGCCCGCTCTGCCGCGCCAGCGTGGTCGCCCCTGTGCCCGCCGCCGCCGAGCCCAAGAACGACTCCAAAGACGACGGCCCGGAGTGCCCGGTGTGAGGCAGATCTGCCCGCACCGGCGAGGCGCCGAGCTACCAAAGCCAAGCCAGGGGAGCACGTAAACGGCGGAAGACGACACGCATATTCCGGCGTCTGTGTCGATGTCCCTTAGCTGACTCCTGCAGGTCGGCGAGGTACGGTCGGCTCCGTTCGTCGTCTCCTGTTTTGTTGTGTTCTTGTTATCCATACATATCTCCCTCTATTCAGTTTTGCTGATCGGTGAGATGCACATTTGGATCAGTGGCTTCTTCTATATGACGATGTGTGCGTGTGATTGGAATTGTAAGATTAGAAACATGCAGGGGTATATCATATGTGTGCGTGACAGAATTAATAGTGTAAGATCGTAGTATCGTACATATGTGAATTATAATGGAAAGCTTTGATCGACATTTTTGGCATGGTCGTCCAGTTGAAAACATCTTCTTTTGGCCATGTTGATAGGTACCTCTACATATTTTTTTGAGGGACGGTACCTCATGGTTCTACAAGGAGAAAAATGCTTTTCTTTCAGCCGGGAAAGTAGAAGTCCAATTGAACCGATGAAGTTAGGCTAGTTAGGAGTATATACACTAGTATCATATGCATGATAGTGTATGATATCTCTATAGTGCATAGTATCGACTACCGTATTTATTGTTTTCTATAGCTCATAGTAGCATCACATTTTTTATTATACGATATTAATGATATCGTATAATAATGTGCCACATTTATTGTATCCTCTCTTTCTCAATCAATACTATGTCATATCAGCAATATGGTTAGTTGGTGGCATGAGCCTGCATGATACTTGGTTAATGGTTATGTCACACCATTGTGTGAGGTCTTAAGGAACGAGCATACTAAAAACACAAGTGGAACTCCTTTCAACAAGAAACAGTCAAGTGGAGGTTACCGGAGTAGTAGGAAACTTCTTTCATTCACAACATGCTTGAATGATCTACTTAGTGACTTCGGCCATTAAAAGTTTGCAAACAAGCACCATAGAAACTGGGATTTTGTCGCTAAAATCTCGTAGTCTTGAAGGCCTCCAAAATGGTCTCACGGATGCACTCCCTCACCTTCCATAACCATGGGGAAAAAAAGAAGGCTGGGCCACTATGATATCTCTATATATAGGTCCACTTTGGATCCTAGGATTGTGAAACATGAGAATATGATAAACTTAATCTAACAAGGTTGACATAGGAAAATAGAGGATTAGAAAGCATATAGCAGAACAATAGGAACAATCGTTTTTGGATGGAATATAGAGAAACGTCTCAAAAGGCGGCTGAAATGGATGTTTAAATTCTTATTAAACCTAGTCATACGAGTCGAATCCATAGAAATTAAGGTGCCATCATTCCTTTGATCCAACAATAATCCTTAGAAAAAGTTCCAACAATCCGAAGTGGGCCCTTAATGTTTCCAATGGAACGTCAAACCCTTCTTTTTGCCGAATATACTAGGGCCTCTTTGATTCGTAGGATTTTAAAAATGTAGAAATAGGAAAAATGTAGAGTTGGAATGGCATGCCCATTTGAATCCTATAAAATTAGCAATGATTGTTTGATGCCACGGGAAAAACAAAGAAATTGTAAAAAGAGGTTGGAGTGGATGTTAAATTTCCTATGAAATGTAGTACAAAAAATTTCATAGAAAAAATTCCTATGAAATCTAATCCTATGAATCAAAGGACCAATATAGAAAAATTCCTAGAGACTTCAATCCTCCAGAAATCCTATAAAATTCCTTTGAATCAAAGAAGCCCTAATCGTGTCTATCATTCCCATAGCAAACCACTGATCTTTGCACGTATGTACAGTACATGGTACCGACTGGACGCACCCATTGATTCGATTCTTGGATCTCCTTGGTCATGGATATGGCCCATTGGAGTCACTACACTGCTGTGCATGCAATAGTACGGGCACTCACTAGCAACAACAGTATGGAGCAGATTACGCGCGCGTTTCGTCTCGCTTTTTGCTCCCCCATGCATACATATCTTCCAGCTCATAGCCACAGAGAAGCCTCGGGCCTCACAGCTACACCAGCTGCCTGGCATGCCACCTAAAACCATCTACAGTCGGACGTCTCAAATCATTTTTATATGCTTATGGACGTGTCTGTCGGTTATCGGACATGAAAGAGAAGAAAAAACATGACCCAATCGGACCACTCATATCTTTCTTATACATCTGGGTTGTCCACGAACCCTCATATCCATCTCAAATATGAAGAGGATATGAGGCCTCACGGACATGTCTGGGCGTGCCCGATCAATCCGCCACATAGGATGCGGCCCCATCCTGAACCACATTTTCTCTTTCTTTATTCATTTTTTCTTTCTCTTTCTTTATCTCCATCAATCACATGCAAGTGACCGGAGATATAAGAAAAAAATGAAGATTATGACTGTGCGGATGGATAATGGATAACTAGAGGTTTAAACGGACACGCCTAATAACTAACTAGGCACGTCCACACACGTTTGAGGGGCCGAGTTAAAGATACGTGGCTGTAGATGCTCTAACGTCCCCAGCATCCTGGGCAAATCCAGCACGCTTTCATTCCAGACAGGAGCGGCCTTCACTACAAAAATCTGTTCCCCGATCGATTACGCCGTCGTCGTGCCGGTCAGTTGTACCGTCCTCAGATCTTACCGTTTTCGTACGTCGACGGCGACGTGGTCACACGAGGAAAAAACCCAAAAGAAACGATCCACGAACTAGCTCTCCGTCGTCGTCGCCTCCCATTTATTTTTCAAACGCACGACGACAAGACAGCCGGATCCATGTGCTCCGCGCGCGGGAAGTGTCAGCATCGAAAGGGACGGCCACACATGCGCACCAGAGCACCACCAACTTGACCGAGGTGGACGTGCGTGTACGGAGACCGGTGACGTGTGAACATTATCTCGACGATATATATCCTGGAGCAGAAAGATGGTTGATCAAGAGATGCCAAAACGAGGAGGGGGCACCTTGTCCTTAATGCCATGTGGCTGTGCGTACGATCGGGTACCACGGTAGAATGATCTGGACGGAGTTTGTGGATTATTAATTAGTTGGCCGCGCGTACTGCACGGTGTTGGTCACGAGCTACGGAATCTTCGGTTCATTTTTGGGGACCTTGGGGTGGGGGTGATGCTTGGCTGCTGCCTGGCATGATTGGTTTCCACCAGCATCCACCATGTGCGAGGAAGAATCACATGCCTACCCAACATCGAAGCAGCGACAAGATTGCCGCCGGAACCGCGGGTCAAATGTTGCTAGCTGTTCGTCAGCGGTCACCGTTTGTGATTAAGGCTGGGGGTTGATGCTTGACGTACGCCACTGTTGGATCGAAGCAAGCAGCGAAGAGACGCCGCCGCCGCATCGTGACCGGCCAGCGAAGCTAGACGGCACGAGTCGCCACTGAAAGAGTACGGTCGAGCGTAACAGCCGTCAAGTGCAACTGTGCGAGTGTTTGGCGAGCAATGCTAGGTTCACGGGGTCTTTTTTTTTACGGGATCAACGGACTGGCTATTGTGGAGGCTTGGGATTGAAAGTTGGGGATGAAGCGGGCCCCACCCCACTGAAAATCAGATGGGGAGAGAGGTTAGTTAGTTGGAATTATCAAGTAAAAGCCCCGTAATAGTCCGTGTGTGTAGGTTTATTGAGTGTTTGGCTACCAGCCGTCAAGGAGACCAAGTGTGAACAACGAGATGTCAATCGGATCGAGTGTTGCTAAGAAAGCGGAACTGCCTCCTGGGTCGCGTGCTCGAGCGGCCCCGGAGGCCCTCTCAATCCGGGGGATTTAGATCATTTGCCCCACTTTACATAGTATTTGATGATTTGTCTCAGGGTTATGTCAATGGCTAGTGGCCCCGGCCCCATCCGCCAATTTGGGTGGGAGGAGGGAGGGGGCAAATAATCAAAGTTAGAAATAAAGTGGTGTAGAAGATTTAATTTCTCCCTCAATCCCTAGCCACCACCTACCAGCACACCCTGCCACAGATCTCTCTTCCCATTGTCATTGTCGGACGCTGTCGGCGGCCGTGGTGGGGCGCTGTGCAGCGGCTCAATTGGTCGTTTGGCCACCGGCGTGTCGCGTCGGTGGAGCATTGCTTCAGCCATGTGCAAGGGCGCCGGCCTCCCCCCCTGGGATATGGATCTAGCTGGTTCCTACCCCTACCAAATTTATGGGCTTGGGGCTTAGGAGGGGCGTGACCGGTGGCTGGTGGTCCTCTGGCTGCCGCCTGTTGAGGCTTCGGTCATGCTCATGCATGAGGTTCAGGGCCCGGGTCACATGCCCTAAGCGTTGCACTCGTTGTCGCCACGGCCACCGACCTCTACTCCTAATCTGTTTTTGGGCGGCTGGCATCCTTGATGTGCTTGCCCAGATTCAGATCAGGACGATTTGGTTGTGGTGATCAAGATCAGTTCGGCCGATGGCGGTGGTTGCAGACCATGCTGCAATGACCTCCATGGCTCCATGATGATGAAGGTCACCAAAAGGTCTGATGGTTGACTTCGGTGGTGAGATACAGAATATGAACGACGGTTTGACGCAGAGGCATGGTTGTGCAGCGGTAGCGGTTGCACATCGCATGTAGCTGTCGGGATCGCGAAAAAGTGATGACGACAACACATGAGTGATTTTGATGATGGGGCTACTTGTGCACCGGGTCTCGAGCTTCGGGGTGAATAGCCTAGGTCTGACCCATGGTGGTCATACCTAGCAATGGCGATTTTTTTACATCGTTACCTTATAGAAGGTATTGCTTGGATTTGCTCGGAGTGATTCTTCAGGGTGACCTAGATTCTTGCCTTGTTAGTTGGATTCGGTGACAGCGGTGCTTGAGCATCGCTACCTTCCCGAAGGCGTTGGTGTTGAAGAAACTCGCCGTCCATGTGGTGTCATGAGATGGTTGATGCGGATATAATCATTGTCGTAGTTTGCCGATCGTGGATTTGATTGCTTGGATTTAATTTTGTTTTTCTCGCCTACTGATAGCTTCGGTCTTACATGACTTTGCTATTTGGTCGGCGTGTGTTTTGTGTGTGCCGTGTTCATTGATTGTGTGCATCCTAGTTATGCAGAGTTGACCGAGTGTGATCATTATGTTTGTATCATCTTGATGCTTTATTATGAGGCAATACATCCACCCTTTTTTGAAAGAAAATGAACCTAAGGAGTGGATTAGCAATAATCTTACACCTAATGGACAGTTTGTTATTTGTTACAGAAATTATTCTACAGCTGACTTGATTTTCTCGTAAAATAGGGACTTTCGGTAGGCGTAGCATTATGTATATTATAACCCCGAACAGGGTGTGGAAATTCAGTTCGAGCAAAGATAAGTCAAGATAATAATAGCAGTCACGTCCTTTTGCACTTCCGAGAAATCCTAAAGCCTGAACAAACGGTTTCTAGCTATTTTTTTAAATAATACAACTTTTTTTATTAAATTTCAAAAATATTACACCGTAATTATATTTTTTTTAAATAATACCTAGTCGGTATACCGCCGGTCGATTGGATTCAGTCGGCCTACTGCTGGCCGATTGGACCCCAGTCGGCGACTGGATCCAATCGACCCACTGCTGGCCGATTGGCGCCTAGTCTGCTTCCTCTAGGCCGATAGGTGCATGCACTCATTTATCTGTTGACTAGGTATTTGAAAAACATTAAGAAATATTTAGAAAATGTTGATCATGCATATAAAATGTTAATTAAACATTTGAAAAAATTGTTGAACAAGTATTTGAAAACTGTTGAATAGGTATTTGAAAAATGTTAAAGAAGTATTTTAAAAAAATGTTGATCATGTATATAAAATTTTTAATCAAGCATTTGCAAAAAATGTTGAACAAGTATTTGAAAAAAATGGTGAACACGTATTTAAAAAAATATTGATCATGTATATAGAAATATTGCACAAGTATTTGTAAAAATGTTGATCATGTATATAAAAATGAACAAATATTTTTTCAAATACTTGTTTAATATTTTTTTCAAATACTTATTTAAAAAATATTGAGCAAATACTTGATCAACATTTAACATTTGTTCATTTTTACATATTGAACAAATACTTATTTAACATTTGTTCATTTTTATATACATGATCAACATTTTTACAAATACTTGTTCAACATTTTTATATACATGATCAATATTTTTTTCAAATACTTGTTTAACATTTTCTCAAATACTTGATTAACATTTTTATACACATGATCAACATTTTCTAAAATACTTCTTCAACATTTTTAAATACCTATTCAACAGTTTCAAATGTTTTTTCAATATTTCTCAAATACTTGTTCAACATTTTTTCAAATGCTTGATTAACATATTTTTAAATACTTATTCAACATTTTTAAATACTTGTTCAACAGATAAATGGGCGCATGCACTTGTCGGTCTAGAGGAAGCGGACTGGGCGCCAATTGGCCAGCAGTGGGCCGACTAGGGCCAATCGGCCAGCAGTGGGCCGACTGGATCCAATCGGCTAGCAGTGGGCCAATTGGGGTGCAATCGGCCAGCAGTAGGCCGACTGAATCCAATCGGCCAACAGTAGGTTGACTGGGTATTATTTTTGAAAAATATAATCATGCCGTAATATTTCTAAAATTTAATAAAAAATTGTATTATTTAAAAAAATAACATGTTTTTGCGGTGATTCTTCTCTTCTCATCTCAACAAAGTATCAACAAAGGTCGGTCGGTGTTGAGATATTTTCCAATTATTCATCATTGAAAGCATCAGCAAGGTATTGGCAAGGGTCACTCAATGTTGAGATACTTTTCAACTCTTTGTTTTTTGCGAGGTTATTTTGCAACTCTTCATCATTGAAAGTATGAACAACGACGAGTTTTAGTTGTTCTAATCTAGACTGGTCTGGTCTTGTTGTCTAAAATCTGATGGGATATATTCTTCACTAGCTCACATATATCACTACCTTTAATTTTTTTCAAAAATTAATGATACGCTGGTGGATAGAAAAAAGAGTACCGATTCGATAGAACCCCTCGTCACTAAACGTATAAAGGGTAATTTGGACCTTTCACATATCATACCAATCGAACGTATACACTTACGGGG